TGGGTGAAGACCCACAGACGGACAACCCAACTCACATTGGTGTGCCCTGTAACAATTCAAGGGGTTACAAGGTAGGGAGAGAGGGGCACCACTGAACCCCCAAACTGCCTGCTCTAAATGGGTTCTGCCATCCTCTGCATCAAGACAAAACATGCAAGACTTTAATGAAAAGGAACTTTAATACAATGAGTGTACAATTTGGAAAACAATATAACTTCTAAATCAAACAACTGAAGTTACCCATCACCTTGTGGGCAAAAATCAACCCAAAAGGAATTGGTCCTAAGCAAGGCCACAAGACTAAAGCACCTTCTGGCCGGGACTCATGGAAAAGGGTCAAAAATGGCCAGATAAGTCTGGCAAGAAACGTGCAAAATCAAAATCAATATAGACAATGCCATAGTCAACCTCCCCATGGGTCTCTCACCCACATCGCTTTCAACCAGTCCATGGCCAAAAAACAAGCACGGTTTCTTCATCATATGCTTGCTTCTCCATGTGGCTTCCTCAGGTCTTCTTCTGGCTCTCCATCCTGCTTCCTTCTTCTCTCAGATTCCTCTCTTCTCTTCTTTTCTCTGCTCAGCTCCACCCATCTTCTGGGTGGGGCAGAGAACCTGGAACTTCCCCTTTTCCTGGGGAAAAGGTGGGCAGTGAGTTGGGCCCAGGACTTTGTTCAGTTGCCAAGGGAAGTTCTCTCTTTTCCACTGGGCTTGGACCTTGTGGCATTTGGCAACCATTTTTCCTTCAATAAGGTTTCTTACAATTAAGTCAATATGGAGATGAGCAGAGCTTTGGGTGACATTAGCCAGAGATCAAGTCAAACCTGAAGCTGATGGGAATCGTCTTAGACTTTTAAGGCGATGTAGGCCTTCTACAGGGCAGGGAGAGAGGGACACCCTTGAACCCCCAAACCTGCCTGCTCTAAATAGTTTCTGCCATCTGCCGCATCAAGACAAAACATGTAAGACTTTAATGAAAAGGAACTTGAAGAACCTCACAGATTCCATTTTGAGTCTGCCACCACCATCTTATGCTTCAGTCTCTGTTTCCCCGTCAGGGGTGGGAGTTCAAATGGCACATCAGCAGGCCACCCTGAGGCAGGCTCAGACCATACCCACTGCCCAATCATGGGCTGAGACAAACTTTATGTACCAGATATGGAGGAGCGAGAGGGTCAACCAATCAGACAGCAACCAGTGTCGCACCTGAGCCCACGCCCGGGAACTGTATAAGAACTCTGCCCCCCAAAGCTCAGGGCCCTTCCTACCACCCAGGTGCCTCTGGTGTGGGGTTGAGTCCAAACTCAAGCTTGCAATAAAGTTTCCTCTTGTCTTTACAGCAGTGTGGCTGGCTTTCTCAGGTAGTGCGCCCTGTTCCGGCACAACAAATACAGTGAGTATACAACTCAGAAAACAAAGAATATAATTTCTAAATCAAACACCTGAAGTTACCTATCCCCTCGTGGGCAAAAGTCAACCCAAAAGGGTTTGGTTCAAAGCAAGGCCTGAAAGCCCGCCACAAGTCTAAAGCACCTTTTGGCCAGGACCCACAGAAAAGAGTCAGATATGGCCAGATAAGTCTGGGAGAAAAAGAGCACAATCAAAATCAATATGGACAATGCCATAGTCAACCTCCCCATGGGTCTCTCACCCACATCTGTTTCAACCAGCACAGGGCCAAGAAACAAGCACAGTTTCTTCACATGTCTCCCTCTGCTCCACGTGGCTTCCTCAGGTCTCCTGGCTCTCCATCTTGCTTCTTCTCCAGACTCCCTCTCTTCTCTGCTCAGCTCCACCCTCCTTCTGTAACAGGGTGGTCCCTAGGAAAAGGGGAAGTTCCAGGTTTCCTTCCCTACCCAGAAGGAGGGTGGAACTGAGCAGAGGAAAAGGAGAGAGGGAATCAGGGGAGAAGTGAAGAAGGAAGCTGGATTGAGAACAAGAAGGACCTGAGGAAGCCACATGGAGCAGCAAGCATGTGATGAAGAAACCGGGCTTGTTTTCTGACCCCAGACTGGTTAAGGCAGACGTGGGTGAGATACCTATAGGGAGGTGACTATGGCAGTGTTTATATTGATTTTGATTTTGCTCTTTTCCTCCATTTATCTGGCCATTTCTGACCCTTTTCCATGGGTCCCGGCCAGAAGGTGCTTTAGTTTTGTGGCGTGCTTTCAGGTCTTGCTTTGGGCCAAACCCTTTTGGGTTGACTTTTGCCCACAAGGGGATGGGTAACTTCAGGTGTTTGATTTAGAAGTTTTATTCTTTGTGTTCTGTATTTATATTTATTGTATTAAAGTCCCTTTTCATTAAAGTTTTATATGTTTTGTCTTGATGCGGCAGATGGCAGAACCCACTTATTGCAGGTAGGTTTGAGGCTTCAGGGGTGACCCTCTCTCCCTGTCCTCTAACAGATTTGGTGTCCTGTAACTCTTCTAGGTGGGGCAGGGAACCTGGAACTTCCCCTTTTCCAAGGGACCACCCTGTTACACTGGGACCACCCCATTATAGGCCCACTAACTCCTTTCCTTAATTTGAGTTGGGTTTTCAAGCAATTGCAGGCTAATAGTGGACCTGTTACAGGGCACCCCAATGTGAATTGGGTTGCCTGTCTGTGGGTCTTCACCTGCGCGCTTAAGATTCAATCGTACTATGGACACACACAAAAAGGCTCATTAATGGATTTATTTACAAGGAGAAAGGTAAAGGAAAGGTAAAGGGAAAGAGAGAAATACAAGTTATACTAGAATGTCCTACCAGTTCTGCTGACTTGGACTTCATCAGCACCCTGAAAACCAATCAAGAGCCAAACGACCAGCTGCGAACCACTAGACCAAGAGACCCCCAAGAGCCCACATGTTGGGTTTTATCCTAACCTGACTGCTCAGCTCCGCCCTCACATCCCAGCATGCTTCTCCTTGTTAATGATGGGATTAGTAGTTCCAGTATCTGGAGTGGGGGTGGAGTCCATGAAAACTGTACCTGTTATAGACCCAGAGAAAAAAGGCACTATGTGGAGATACACTTGGGCTCTGAAGCTTTTTCTATTGTAGTGGACCCCATATGAAGAAAAGTATAGTTCTGAATGCCCCCAGGCTAGAGTCAGAGAGAGGAATGTTCAGGGGGTATGTTGGTTCTTAGCACAGGCTAGAGATGATGGATCTGGGTACTCTCTACTGGTTGCTGGCCAGCAGGCCTCTATAGGAGAGGAAACTGAGGTGGTGTAGCTGATGTAGTGGCATGTAGGCTGCAGGTGAATGGTTTTGTTGGGGCTATAGTTTAGGCTTACCAATAACCTCTAGTGTGAATTTTAGTTATTATAAGCATTGTGGAGGTTCAGATGACCTAGTTCAATGTGTGGGTTGCTTAGGTTACTCTGAGGAAGAATTCAGCAGACATTCCCATTCATCAGCACATGGCAAGTTTGTTAAAAAGAGAACATGGAAAGAAAGATACCTGCATAGACATAGGTGGGCCATCTTAGAGGACAAGAACTGAGTTTTGCCAGAATTTTGCTCTGGCAAAAATCAGAGGGGTGTTTTTTTAATAATGTTCTTGGATGGAATTATTATGGAAATTATTGCCTAGGGTCAAGTTGGGTTGGTCTTCTAAGATTGATAATCCTCCTGCCCCCACCTATGACTGATGATCCTTCCTGACCCCACCTCAAATTCCTGGAAACATCAATAGCCAGGTTTAGCCTAAAATTCACTTAACCTTAGGCTAAACCTCTGGTGTTTTTTCTTGTGAGACCTTAGATCCTAAATTTTTCTATTTTAACGTTCCCTCATAACCATCCCAGGGCCATCCTAGGGAGAAGTTAATGTGGAACTCAGGAAATTCCTGTTTCCTAATCTTTTCCTTGTCCTTCCAGTTCCCCTCATCCCCAGCAGTGGCCACCCATTTCCCATATCCAGTAACCAAAGGCAGCCTCCAGGGACGGGTGTCTCACTTTGTTGCTCTTATTAGTTCTTAGAATCTGCTTCGCTCATTTTATCAGGACTGATTCTGAGAAGGAGCCAGGAGCCCACTCTAGTTTGCCATGTAGGTGGGTAGGTGGCTATTCCTTTCCCCTCACCTGATGACTGTCTCCACCATTCTCTTAATGGTTTAACACTGTTGGGTGTTTCTCTGCTTCTTACGCAGTAAACTTACTTGGGCCAGGATGGGGCCCAATTCAGCTCTAGACCCTGGCCCCTGCATAGGACCTTACCAACATCAATTAATGTCCCCTGATGCAAATCTTATCAATCAGTTAAGTCCTCTCCCAGGTCACGTTCAGTCACCACTTGAATGTTACTACCTAGACAACTGGTGGTCTCAGTTATTAAGGCTCCCACCATCGGACATGTACCTGAATTTACTAAATGGCGATTAATGGACCAAAACGGGTTACTGACTAACTTTTTCTTTCCCACTGATTAATTTTTTCTGCATATTTGGGGCTGGATGACTCGCGCGACTGTTCACTATTAAACGTCTTGTCTTAGGGCAAATCAAGACAGTGACTTAGGTCAAGTGTCGCGAGTGCTCCTGTTTCCATGTAATCGGCAATACGTGTAGTTACATGAAAGGGGAAAAGATGAAAGAAAAAGAGCGGAGACCAAAATAAACAGACCTAGAGAGAGAGGGAAAAAGAGCAAGATGAAAAACGGAGCGGCGTTAATAAGACGGGAAAATAGAAGCGACGGGAAAGAAGCGAGAGCGGGAACTGAACGAGCGGGCAGGCCCGGGAGCGCGCTGGGCTGGCGCACCGTCCTCAGGCGCGGGGGCCGGGGGGCGGGGCCTGGAAAGCGGCGTGCGGCGGCAACCACCCCGGGCGCCGAATGGTTGCGTCCGGCGGAGGCGGCCAATGGGCGGCCGGGATGTTGGAGCGGCAGCGGCGGTCCGGGCGCTAGCTGGCTGGAGGACGGTCGCCGCCATGATGCTTGTTTGCTTTCAATGAAAACGAGGGGGGCGCGGAGGAGGAGGCGGCGGCGTCGGTGGCGGCGGCGTCGGCGGCGCGGAGGCGAAGGCGGCGGTGGGCGCAGCGAGGAGGGCGAGGCCCCGGGCCGACAGTGCCGTAGGGCGTAGTGGCGCCCCTTCGGGGCAACTGAGGCGGGCGGCTGACGCGGTGGCGCTCGGAGGGGGAACAAAGAGCGGCGGCTGAGGCGGCAGAGAAGCGGCGGCGGCGGCGGCGGCGCTGCAGCAGCGGGCGGGACTGGTATGGTGGTTCCACAGGTCAGACCCCGCTGCACTCACAGGGAGGAGGCGGCGGCAGCGGCGGAGGAAGGCGGCGCACCCGGAGAGGTGAGCGAGACGGCCCGAGGCCCGACCGGGTGCTGCGCCCCGCACTGGCCGCGCACGGGCTCTGCTCAGCAGTGTCCCCGGGACCTGAGCGCGCGGGGCTCGGGCGAAAGCAACTTGAGTTTTGTGGGCGGTGGGCCCATCGCTTGACCGAGTGGGGGCTGTTGGGGGCTCCGGGACGCCGCGGGGTCGCGATCCGGTGGCTCCCGGGGCCGTGCCCCAGGCCGAGTCTGGGGGCGGGGGCCTTGATTGACGGCGGGGGCGGCGGCGCGCCGGGGCCCTCGGACCCCGGCTCTGGTCACAGGGAGAGGCGAGTCGGCGTCCGGGACTCGTGGCCAGCAGGGGTGGCAACTTTGAAGGAATGGCTGTGTGGGATTGCGCGATGTGGAGTGTGGAACTTAGCAGTTACCTCAAAGCGGGAAACCAACTGTTTACCCCCCTCCCCCCAAAGTATTTCAAATTCAGTTGAAAGCAGATGTTTTTGTGGGGGTGGGGGGGGGATGGGAGTGACAGGTTAAAGAAGTACTTTGCATCGGATGAAAAGATTGATGGTATTGCAGAGGACTCCGTGGTGGTCCCAGTTACTCGAAGCAGTTCGCTCCAGTAACTCGAACCACTTCTTTGCCTTTGTATGTCTGAGCACTAGTCGTTATGTTTTTGGAAACTCTATTTCTTTGACGCTTACTCTTCGCCTTCCCTAAAGAGCCTGCTAACTATCAATAAAACACCTGTTACTGCAATTGACAACGTTGTGAATGGTCATTGTGCTTGACCTTACTGGACTTGTTAGTGTGTTAAGCGAGGTTTGAGTCATTTGATTGAATTTGAGTTCCCATACTTAACCCGTTTTTGAGCTTTTTTGGCTCACTAGTGTGTAAATTAAATTTTGAAGAGGAAGAGAGTGGATTATTAGTAAGTAAAAAGTAAAACAGTGTGTGATAACACGTTGTATTTTCCAGGATACACTTATAAAACAGTTTTGTATGCTGTAGGAGCTAATGTGACTGTTGATCAAAAGATTTTGAAGACTTGTGATCTGTATCAGAGGGATTTTCAATTTTTAGAGTGTGATGGTTTTGGGAATAAAAATTCCTTAATATTTTTAGACCAGCGATTTAGGCCATCTGATTTTTTTTTTTTCCATCTGATTGTTTTAAACAAATATTGAAAAGCTACCGATGAGGAAACTGAGAGGAAAGGCTCAAGAGACTTGCTCAGGAAACACAGTAAGAGGCAAAGGCATGGCTTTTGTGAACATGAGAGCCTATGAGAGTATATGGGGATGTGATGTAATTGCTGTAGTTCATTTGGAAGGGCAGATGGACAGAAGTTATTTAAGACAGTTGAGCCTGGTTACCTCTTAGTAGTCTAACAGAATTATTAATTAAATCATTGAAAAAGAGGATGTGACAAAAGATATGTACAGTTTCTTGTGAGACACAGATTTTACCTGAAAGTTCATCCTTGCATAGTTCCAAAGTGTTTTGATTGGTGGTAATGTAGCTGAAGTAGTTTCTTTTGAATACCCATCTGATTTGCAGGTATTTCCTTGGTGGAAAGTAAAACTACAATTATTGGGAAATTTTAGATTATTTCCTTTTGCACAGAAAAGCAGTGGGTAATAGAACTTTGTCCTGACTGTAACTAAAGGGCTTGTAGGAATTTTCCTGCTGTACTTGTAATTTACAAATATGTGTTTTGGTTAATGCTGAAGCATACCATGATAGCCATGATTTCTTATATTAGCCTTACACATCTTTTTCATATATGTAAGGCTTACTGGAATAAATGATCAAGACTTCTTTAAGCTGTAGCCTTTGGGCCATAAGCAGTGAAGGGACTAAAAACTTCAATACACCTGTGACTTTCCCATACTCTGGTTGGGAAATGCTTTTAAGGTGTCGGTCACTTTGGAAATACATGGATTTGTGAGTATGCAGTACCATTTTTCACTTTTGATTGGAACTTAATAATGTGTTAAATCTAGGGGAAAATTCCCAATTTTAATTTCCAAATCCCTGGCTTCCACAGAATCTTTTGATGTACTTTTTTCTTTAACCTGACCTGCTATTACGTTTTGAAAGGTAGCCATTTTAAGATGATGTGTGATTAATAAAACACAATATGTGTGTGTGAAATTAAGAAATTGTTAACTTGTAGCCTGTGTGTACATACATACATACATATGTTACATGTATTATATATAGATTTTATATATGTATACACATTGTATATATACACACATTTTTATATATATATACGCACACCATTTTTTATATATGTGTGTATATATATATATATAGTTAAAGAGAAGATTATTTGGGTCCAAGAAAGTATTTATTGAGGCTGCCTTGCCCTTATTCTTCTTTGGATTTTACCTATCCCTCATCTGTTTGTATTTTCTTGATAAGTTTTGCATTAAGGCATAGTATTGCTGAATGCAGTGTTGGATTCTGAGAATTCAAATATGACATTTATTTCTGCCTTGTGTCTATAGGCTATAGTTGGTGTACAGAGTGGTGTGAAAGAACAGAAGAGGGAATGGTTAAATTTGTGTAAGGTGTGGGAGATGTTTCCAGAAAATAATACTGAGTAGGTCTTTGCCAAATTGGAGGGAGGGGGTCATTTCAAACAGGACCTGTGGGTGCACTGGAATGCGAAGTGTTGAAATAAGGCCTGTAGTGAGGGGATACAGGAACAGGAAGAGTGACTGGAAATGAGCCTGCAAATCAGCCTTGATTTTGTTTTTTTTTAACCATCCTAAATTGTTTATTTGGTAGGTAAGATTTTTACAAACATTACTTATTAGCAAAAATGGTAATGCTCGAGAGTATTGTGTGTTCTCCAAGCTGCACTATGAGAACCATCAATAATGTGGAATCTGTGGTCCATTCCAAGCTTTTGCAGTCTGCAGTTGTCAGTCCTCGAATCTCACTGTGCTTATGGACTGGTTTAGTCATCCACCAGCTATCAGAATTTCTTTTGATAGCTTTGTGGAATGAATTGATGAGGATAGCCTCAAAAACTTGCATATTGAATCTGCACCAACTCAGTAAGAATTTGGGCTCCTCACAGTGTTACCCAGCTTGCTCCCTAGCAACAGCAAACTCCAACTCATTAACACCATGATGGAGAGGCTTGCCATAGGTTGCAACCTTTGGAATTGGATGTTTGTGACTACCATAACACTAACGTGGTATATGACAAACCTTGCTTGACTTTACATCCCAGTCTGCTTGCTTTATCTGTCTAGGTGAGGCAGTGTGCCCTGTGAAGGGTTGACAGCTGGCAGTTCTGCTAGCAGTGCCCCTGAGAAGAAAGTGCATCACATTGGACTGCTTCTTCCTTCATAGTTCCTGGATGTACTTGTAAGTGCCTATTTTGGCTTATCTGATGGCTTCCTTCAGGAAGAAAAGAAAGCTAAAAGTGAAGTTAATATCTTTATATTATAGCAAAGGAGGGAGCCGAAATATTTTAGTAAGTGAGCAAGGTGCTTTAGACATCACTTTCACACAGGTGTGAAAATACAAAAATAGTCATTTGCCATAGAACAAAATTGTTGATTCTGAGTCTGTTGTTTAACTCGGTTGTAGTGTCTCTGTGTCCGGTGCCTTTTGCAGTGGGCTTGAGGATTATCCAATTGCTCTGTAGTGTAAGGTAATTTAGGAATAAAATTTGAGAATATTTTGGAAGAAGTTAAAAGCAGTGGAAGCAGTGAAACACAGCATGTTGCACATGGGAAAGGGAGGCATTGAGAAGTTGTTTTCTCAGACTTAGGCAGGTTCTAGAGCTGCACATGGGAAAAAAATCAATCCTGTGCCCACCAGAATTGAGAGCTACCAATGTTAAAAATTATAATTAAAAATTATGACTTATGGTCTATTGCAGCATGGGCAACGGACATTTTGTGAAATTGGGGAACAGCAGGGTTCTCTCCCCAGTAGATTGCCGAAATTGCAATATTGAAACTTTCCTACATCAGAGGACTTATAAAGCTGTTAATTTTATACAGTGCTGCTATAAAGCAGCATCTGGGTTGCTTAAAATCAGCAGGCAATGCAAAAATTGTGCGGTAAAAACAAACATACAAGACTTGTGGGGGGAAGTGGGATTAGGGAACAACAATCACACTTTCTCAGTTACTTATTTTTTAAAGAGGAACCTATAAAAACAGTTTTACACTGGTTAAATGGTTAAGGAATACATAAATACTACAGTAAACAGGCATTGGACTTTGAGAAAGACTTGGTTTGTTTTTGGAATGGGCATTAGAAGGGTTGCTGCTTGTGAATTATTAAGTGTGGTGGATGGAAGAAGGGTTACCTGAAATCAGTTGGAATGTTATATTAATAGCAGGTATGGATTGGCGTGATATACACACCCCATCCAGTGAACTGATTTAGCTGTCTTGCGGACTTTTGTGCTACTCAGCTGGGTACACTTTGTTACTTTTACCTTGTATTTTTGGAGACAGAACCACATAAAAGCAAATGGGAATTTTGAGTTCCACCATAAATTTCTATAGTAGTCATTTTCGACATCTTCCAATATCATATTTAAATGTTGATCATAAGCATGTAGTCTGATTTCAAGGTGTGATTTCTCGTTTTCTCTTAATTTTCTTCATCTAGGTTGAGTCTGAGATCCTGGGGTGGTCTGCAGTATTAGTAGTTTGTTGCTGGTTCATGTTACTCACCATGTTTCAAACCCCACAACTCTTAATAGTTGCTTCCTATGTTCTGTGTGCTAGGATAGTGCTCAGTAGCCCAATGCTCTGTTAAATACTTGATGCAATTTTAAGTATGTAATAGTAGCAAGCAGAGAATCAAGAGTTTGTTACAAATAGATATCTCTGCAGAGTACTGTTGTGAAGACTTAAAACAGAAATTAGACAGTGATCTTTGTATACATAAAGAGTTACTGGTGATTCTCCAGATACATCAAGAGGTTTGCATATAGATTTTTACGTAGGCAGACCTTTTTTTTTTTTTTTAAGATTTATT